GGGTGCAGTGGTGTGGGACAGTACACTTGAGGTAGGGATGTATTGTAGGTCTTAAGTGACAGACGTATACATATCCTGTTTTCATTACCTTTCTCACTCTACCAAGGCTCTGGTCACCCATGTGTCCATCCATCCACCCATCCTTCCATCCTTCCTACCATCCATGCCTTTAGTCATTCAACCATAAATCCATTTTCTCATATATCCACCCGTTGCTGCTTCTATCCACTCATCCACACGTGCCTCCCTGCAGACAGCCATCGAACCACCACTTCTGCAATCCTCTGCTCAGCTACTACGTAAAATCAGCACGTGGGTGTGGAGACAGCCCCACCACTTCCCAGGAGGCCTACTTCACTTCCCCAACGCTCAATTTCTCCATCTACAAAGTGGGTATGTGTATGCCCAAAGAAGTGGGCGCTGAATAACAAAATCCATGTAAATGGTGGCCACTACACCTACGGTTATTGCGCGTGTTGTTATTATTACCACTACCGTATGCTGGGAGGCAGTGCAGAGGTGGATCTGTGAGTGGCCCCACTTCCCTGCTCAGATGCTGACTCTGACGGGTGAGTGGAATACCAGCTGATCCTGTAGGTAACAGCGGGGAGAGGATCAAGTTCTAGGGGGAGGGGGTGAAGCAGCAGGTCTGCCTACAGAAAAAGGGTCAGTGGGAGTGGGCAGGCACACGGGATAGGACAGTGAGCTGGGGGCGTGCTGCCGGCCGGGGGTGGGTGTGGACCCCGGGAGCTGCACCTGGCTGGGTGCCTGACCCCTGCTGCTCCCTCAGGGACCCAAGGCCTGGAGGTCCGGAAGGTGGGCAGGCCTCGGGCTCACCCTCACCCACCTCCTGCACTGGGGAAGATGCGACTTTTGTTGAGAATGCTGGACCCTGTGGGCCAGGGGTTCAAACTCCAGCTCCTCCTTACTAGTTGTGTGGCCTGAGGCAAATCACTCAAGTGCCTCAGTCACTTCGTGTATATAATGCGGATAAATAGTAACATTCAAAGTGTACTCGTGTAAAGCGCTGGGTGCTGCACCTAAGACACCCCTGAAGGAGGTGGGAGTCCTGGGCACGGAGGGTGAGCCCTGCTCTCCCTTCTCCGGAAGTACAGAAACGCTCCGGCCTCCCTACTGTGCACCGGAGCCGAGGCCACACCCAGCCCTGGGTCACCTAGGCACTGCCAGCCTGGGCACAGCACCTGGTGTGTTCCTTTCTTAAGGCTGTGCAACAAACCACTACAAACTTACGGGTTTCAAAGAGCACACATCTATCGCCTCGCGTTCTGGTCAGAAGTCCACGTGCAGTCTGGCTCCTCTGCTCCAGGTGCCACATGGCCGAAAGTGAGGTGTCAGCCAGGCTGCCTTCCGTTCTGGAGGCTGTGGGACGGACCTGCTTCCAAGCTTATTTGGGCTGTTGTCAGAATTCAGTTCCACGCGGAGTGGGAGTGAGTCCCCTTTCCTCACTGGCTGTGGGCTGGGGTGGATCTCAGTCTGGCGGCCACCGTGTCCCTCGGATCATGGCCCCGTCGCAGCCAGCACTGGGGTGCAGTCCTCATGCCTCAGGGCCCTCTGGCCTCCCTTCTCACTCTCCTGCCTTCCTCTTCTGCTTTGAAGGGCCCCCGGGGTTCCATCGGGCCCCTCGGACGATCCAGGTGATTCCAAGATTTAATTCCAAGTTATCGTCAATTCTTGGAGCCTCGCTTTCCCCATCTGAGGTCAAGCACATGCCAGTCTGCAGGGTGACGATGGAAGAGGACCGGCCCCCATGGGAACCTGACAGCTGCAGGGGGTCTGAATCCGCCTCCTTGCCCCAAAGCCATCGCTGAGCGGGTTTCCTCGGTTTACCTCACACCCAGACGCTTACGGATCATATTTCTCCATTCTTCAGATGGCAAAAGAGAAAATGCCCCTACAGATGCTAATAGGACTTTCTCAGCAGAAAGACTAAAATGCTTGTGGGGCACTTGACTCACGAAGTCTACCTATCCTAGTTGTACGTCCGTTCCAGGACAGAAGGGACAACCAGGGGATCGTGGTTCATGAGGACCTGAGATGGGGGGTATTGGGGGTGGGAGACTGGAGGCAAGAATGAGAGGTCCAGCCAGGCCCAGCGGATGGGAGACCCCCAGACGGCGGGCCAGCTCGCCCTCTTTGCAGAGGAGAAAAGGGGTGACGTGGCCCGGGCGGGCAGTGGGCTGTAAGAGGGACGAAGGTGGCAGCCCGGGAAGGCCGGCGAGCCAGCGATGGGGCCCCACGGAGCCCCGCCCCTGGCCCAGGCCCCNCTCAGGCAGAAGTTAAAAGGCTTCCGATGACCTACCCTCAGAATTCCCAGCACATCACACCCACAATCTTCATAACAATAACACTCCAATATAATTTTTAAAAAGTCAAAACTAATGTAAAACTCTATCACGAATAACACATCAAAATTTTCAGGAAGGACGGGATCGGTATTTCTGATTTTCCCTTCTGCCTCTGCACCAGCTTCACGCCCCTTTTGCAAGTAACCCTCAGACGGCTCTGGTTCCAGAACGGAGAGAGCTCTGCTCCGGCTGTGGCTGGTTCGCGGGGAGAGTTGGTGCTGGCCTAGCCTCTCTGCTTGCCTATGTCGGGCTGCTTAGCTTCTGAAGGTGTCTGTTGCCTCCAACTCCAAAAAGGAGCCTTTTAAGTCCAGCCACAAGGGCAGGCTGCCCCGGGTCCCCAGCGTTCTTTGGGTAAGTGGCATCTGGCTGCGACTCATCAGCCTCTCGCTCTTGCCGTGTTGAACGATCACGGTCCCTTTCCCAACAGGGGCACTGCGGAGGCCTCAGTGGCTACGGGGGCAGGAGAGCAGCTTGTGGTTGTCACGGGCATGTTGAAGGTGCCACCCAGCTCTTTGTCAAGCCTTGGGTGTGCATTCCTCGCCAGCAAGCACCCAGCCGCCCTCCTGACTCCCTGACGGCCGAGCACTCCTGCCCCAGCTGGAGAGTGGGGGCCACGAAGCAAAGAGCCTCACGTTCTAGTCCAGCCCACGGCTTAGTGCCAGCCCCCAGGTGGGTGCCCTCCAGCCACCTCAAACTCAGCCGGACCACACTGATCTCACCAGCTTCTCACCACACCGGCACCTTCCAGCACCCCCAGCCAGTTGTGCAAGCCAGAAACCCAGAGGTCACCCATGACTCCCACATCCAGGGAGTCACTAGGCCAGCCGATGTCAGCCTCCTAATTATCTTTCCAGCCAGGTGACAGCAACTCACCGCCTCTGTCACCACCCTGGACCAGCAGCTCTCAAACTTTCTGGCCTACACGACTGCTCTTCACACCTAAAAATGATTGAGAACCCGACATAAGTGCATTATGAGTCAATAAAATTGTATTGCTGATTAGTGTGTTCAAAACTAAAACTTTGGGAAACCTTTAATGTAATTATTTATGAATTCATTTAAAAAGAACAATAACACCAGCAATTCCTCTTCTGAATAGATGAGGTTAAAACAATCTACAGAATGGGAGAAAATATGTTTGCTAATCATGTATCTGAAAAGGAGTTTAGTATCCAGAATATATTGAAAAAAACTCTTGGGCNACTCCACGAGAAAACAGTCTCTGCTTTTCCTGAAAGCGACGTGGCACCATTTCAAATCCGCACAGGCCTGTGGGGTCCTGGAGCCTGCCTGGTGACCTGAACATTTAAACAGCCCCCAGGAGCCAAAACAAGCCCCTTCCCAGCAGTCAGCCTCCCCTATGACCCAAAGGCAGTGTTTAGACCATCTGAGAATCCACAACAGTTCAGAGAACTAGTGCTAATTGTGGGAGCCTGAACCTGTCCACCATTCAGGCAGGTGAGCAGGGGAGGTCGGCCCAGGATTGTCCCAGGTCCTGTTAACTGCTCCCAGCCGCTGAGCAGGCCCGAGCCACCTGGGAAGGTCCCTCTCGACGCCGCTGTGCGGTGACAGAGAGAGGCACAGATCTGACAGCAGCTCAGCAGCCCCTGGAGGGAACTCTCTCATTACGGAGGAAACTGAGGGAAGGTGGCTTGCTCAAGGCCTAATGCACGGTGACAGGGGACACTCCAAACCAGGTCTCTGCTCCAAGTCCAGTGCTCAGCGAGTGGCCCTGCTCTGCCCCCTTCAGCAGGGGCCACGCCACCTCCTCGACCGTCGAGACCCTCTGACCAGGGCCCTTCCCTGCTGAGGGAAGGACTGGGGAGGCCAGTGTGCAGACAAGTGACGAGGACTATATCAGGGCGGTGCCGTGGACAGGAAGAAGGGAGTCTCAGGAGAGAACTTGGGGGATGGGCCCAGCGAAGGCAGGAAAGTGACAAGGATGAAGCCTGAGCGCAACCACCCACAGCTGAGCTGGGCTGGTAGCTGGACACACACGATCTTATCGCCCCTGTGGGGCAAGTGCTGTCCTTTCCCGTCCTACAAATGACGAAACTGTCGGTTAGAGGGGCCGTTACTGGCCTGGCTACACAGCGGGGGTGGCAGCGCTGCCTGGAACAGACAGACTCCCAACCTTTGCGAGGCCGTGAGGAGCCCGGGCAGTGGCAGCGACAGAAGCGGGTGGGCTGGACAGACGGGGCAGGACAGGCAGGGGTGCTGGTGTTGTCTGGGCCTGGGCGGGGTCGGCATGAGGCAGGGTTTAGGGGCTTGCTGAAGTTAGGACTGTGGGTGGCATGAGATGGGAGGTGGAAAGGTGAGAGAGAAGGTTCTAGAAACAGGACTTTGGTGAGTCCTTCTGCTGGGAAACGGTGGGAAGGAGAGGAGCCGGCACAGGGCTGAGACGCAGGAGAGCCAGAGGCCACAGGAGGGCTCAGCCTTTGCAGGACAGAGGGGATTGGCCAATGGGTGGCCAACACGCCCGCCGAGCCTCAGTGGCCTCATCTGTAGTGTGGGGAGAAGGCTGCCGGCCTCGCAGGGCTTGTGAGGGTCAGAGCAGACACAGGTGGGTCTGAGAGGCCTGGGGTTCTCAGGGGCTGTGCCGCCATGCGGTTACTGACCCCCGGCCCCCTCTAGGGCGGCTGTGGCAGCTGCTGGACCTTCTCCACCACGGGCGCCCTGGAGTCTGCGATCGCCATCAAAACGGGGAAGATGCTCTCTTTGGTAAGCAGCTGGCCCCAGCGGTGGGGGGGCTGCCTCCTGCAGAGGTCACGGCTTTGCCCTGAGGCCTGACAAGGGGGCCAGGCCTGGGCCTTCAGGCCTTTCACTAATGACGCCCAGGTTGTTCATGGAGCGAAGACCAGTGTGAGGGTGATGGCCTCCTGTGTGGGCTGGCGCTGAGGCGAGGCCTGTCCCCTCCCCGTGCCAAGTGCCCCCATGGGACACGTGACCACACGCACGGGCACACCTCTAGCATGGTGCCTGGATGAGTGGGGCCGCCCACACCCTTACCAGCCTGGCTGCCCTTCACACACACAGAGATGGGTCCTGCCCTGGGGAGCTTATCTGTCATGGGGAACCAGAGCTGATCAGGCCACAAGTGTGGCTCAGTGCCTGCCGCCAGCTCTCAGCTCACAGGTCTNCTTCTTCTTTCTGAAGTTTTTCATTTCTCTGTTTCCTGTTCTCCAGCCAAGCTGTACCAGATTGGAGACATTGAAGGGGGTTTCCAACTCCACCCCGGCCCCGCCCCACGCCCCGGCCACCACCACCCCCCACCCCACCCCGCAGAGCCCGGAGCCTCCGCCGCCGCGATGTGGGCCGCGCTGCCGCTGCTCTGCGCCGGGGCCTGGCTGCTGGGATCCCCCGTCCGCGGAGCCGCCGCCGGCCTGCCCGTGAACAACTTAGGTACCGGGGGTGCGAGGGAGTGGGGTGGGGGGCGGGGGGGGCGCTGTCCAGGATCCAGACTCACAGGACTTGACCGGGTCATCGCCGGGGCCCAGGGCTCTGGGGTCGGGACCCGGAGGGGTGCGCTGTGTTAGGGGAGGAGGCTGAGAGGAGGGGGACTTGCACGACCACAGGGGCGGTGGGCAGTTGTCTGGGGGACCCCCTACCCAGTACCAAAGGAGCCCATGGCCCCCTGTGCCCTCCACCCGCACCTGGGCACACGGAGGGCGTTGACCTCTGCCCCTGCCGGAGGCGGAGGCGCGCAGGGCCTTTCCAGCCTCTCCTGGCAGCCTCCCCAGGGCCTGGCACGCAGGAGATCCCCATCCGCGCCCTCAGAGCTGCGGGAGGAACGGGGCCGTTTGGAGGGGCGACTCTCCTGCCTAGAGGAACAGCACTTTTAGCCCCTGAAAGCGGAGGGTGTTTGCTCCAAGGGCTCGTGGTCCATCTCTGGGACTCCCCGTTTTGGCCCCGCGCTGCAGGCTCTCCCCTGTGGCCGCCCCCCTTCCACCCACGAGCTCTGAGCTCCCAAGACCAGCTGCCCCCTTACCCGGGGACAGGACCCAGATTACTGAGGCTGGATCTTGTCTGCTCAGAATCTAGCCTTATGCCAGCCCCCATTTGTACAAGAAAAGCCCCTAGTCTTGCAAACCTGGAGGGCGCCCGGCGCCAGGTCAGTCCAACCTGAGGGCCCAGCTGCACCGTGAGTGAGGGCTCTGCCTCGCCCTGCGGTAGGGCTGCTGCGGAAACCCTGTCAACTCCAGGGCCGGGCTCTCAAACCTCTGTAAAAAGCCACACAGTGAAAATCTGGGGCTTTGTGGGCCATACCTCTGCCCCTGTAATGGGAGAGCAGGCACGGGAATCTGTACACAAATGAGCTTGGCTGTGTTCCCATAAACCACAATTTATGGGCACTGAAATTTGAACTCAATTGACTTTCAGGTACTATAAAATGTAACTTTTTTCCAGCTGTTCAACAACACTGTAAAACCAATTCTCAGCTCCTGGATGGTACAGCAACAGAGAGCAGGCCAGTCTGGGGACCCCTGTTCTGGACACTCCCACAGCCCCAAGACAGGGCACACATGACCATACTCCTCCAAAAGTCACAGGGGCTGGAAATGGATCTAGCTGAGGCTGGGGTGCAGGGGTCACTAGCAGACCCTTCTGGCCCCGAGATCATCCTTTTTCTTCCACTGACCTCCATAGTCCAGGCTTTTCTCACCTGTGTGTTCCTCCTGAAACCTCCCAGAGGCAAACGCTGGTCAGTTGTCCCAAACTCCATCGCCTCAAACCCGTCCTGAGCTGAACCCCTCTGCAGGGCAGGTACTGCGAGCAGGGCAGGTACTGCGGGGAATGTGCGTTTTTTTCTCCCAGGGAAATGGCTATGGCTCGGTTTCTGGAACTGGCCTGTGACGCCCAAAGAGATCTAAATTCTGTGTAGCAGAAATCTTCAGTCACAAAGAAATTCCAAGTGATCCCGGCACAGATTAGAAATCAATTCCCAGGCCCGGTACTTCCACGTGTCCTGCGGGAGAAAGCGCCTGAAGGCAGCCGACCTTTCATTCGTCCTGACTCGGAACCCATGAAGGCAGCAAAGGGAAAGGCTCCGGGTGACAAATCCTGGAAGGCTGCTGTCAGTTCTTCAAGGAAGCTGAAACCGAAGGCGGGAGGACCTCACGGGGTATCAGCTGATGGGGTCCTAGAAACAGTGTTCTAGGACAGAGCACCATGTGACTCGGGGCGCGGGAAGAAGTGCAAGGAACTCTGGCACTGCTCTAAAAACGGCCTTCCCATTCCCAGAAGCAATAAGCGGTATTTTCATTGCTTATTATTATTAATAAGCAATGAGCTTATCTGAGCAGGATATCTCAGCCCTTTGACCTATAAAAACACAAAATCCAGAATTCATGCTGAGCCATTAAAACATAGTTAATATTCACCCATGAGTATATAAATCCATGCCGGAGGGGGCAGTTAGTCAAGTCCAACTTATCTCTTTAAGAGATGCATTTCCAATATGCGTTTACTTTCTCTGTTTAACAATTACTTTTCATAATGTGTATTTAAAATGTTTTAGTCAGGCGTTAATGATGACAATGATGATGATTACTCAAATCCAGAATAAATTTTATAATACTCAGAGACGTATGGGTTAGACAGGAAGCAAAAATAATTTAAATTCATACTTTTGGCTCTTGTACAAAAGGATGTTAGGGCAATCAAGTATAAACACATGCTCCCTGGGGGTAAAATCTTGTGAGGTGTGGGTGGAGACGGGGGTACAAAGGAGAAAAGAAACTATGCAAAACGCTTGACTCTGCTAGAGGGGCTCAGTCATATGACTAATGGTGACTACTAACTCACGACCAGCTTTAAAGGGATGATGTAACGGTCTTGTTTTAAAATGTGCATCCGTACAATGAGCTGGAATATATCCTCTGCCGCTAGTTCAATACCAAATGAATTTTTAGATAACTTAAAATGCACAAGGGGGGTACAGCGGGGTCCCCAAAGAACTGGCCAGCCTGGTTTTGCAAATAAAGTTTTATTGGAACGTGGTCACACCCATCTGCTTCCCCAGTACATGGGCAGAGCTGAGTAGCTGTGACAGAGGTGGTAGAGCTTGCCAGGTCTAAGATAATTTACTGTCTTTTTAAGGAAAAATGTGCCAATCGTTGAGGCATATAGGTTTTTAAATTAACTTCTTATTGATATTGATCATCCAGAAAAGTGCACAGATCATTAAACATGAAATTCAGTGAATTTCCACAACCTAAACACAGCAAGCAGCACTCACGCCTTTCTGTACCTCCCCTACCCCCACCCCCAGGACAGCTGCTATCCTAACTTTTAACACCGTAGGTCAACGACGTAGAGATTTTCAACATTGATTTGGGGACCAAAGCAGTAAGAGTTTGCGTACCTTTTGCATTCTGCTTTAAGTGACCCCATTTTTGGCACTTTACGTTTAAGCTAGTTTCCTAAAATGCAAATTAGCTCTGAAGTGCTTCCTTGGCTGTAGATTCAACGCTACTGCGAGGCACCCAGGCCTAATTTATTGTTTCTTTTTGCAGACAACTTTCGTTTTCATTCATGGATGGTGCAGGTCAGTGTCCAACTTCTTCTTTCTGAAGTTTTTCATTTCTCTGTTTCCTGTTCTCCAGCCAAGCTGTACCAGATTGGAGACATTGAAGGGGGTTTCCAACTCCACCCTCCTGGGTCTTTCCGGACTCAGAAATAGCCAAACACTGAGAAGGTTCAGTTGAGCAATCGCCTTCCAGAGATCCCCAGTGGTGAAGTGGGCCGGCAGCCTTTCGAGCCTTGGGGCTCAGGTCCATATTTTGTATTCAAATCACGTGGCGTGCTGCCTGCAAAGTCAATTCGAGAACGCCAGTTGCGTGTACTTTTGAAAAGTGGTGATTTTGGCCGTAAACTTGACCCAGCACCACCTGTCGTACCCAGGGGTGACCTGTACTGATTTAGCAGTGTCTTTGCCCGGGGCCTCTGGCCTCTTGGTGACCTTTCAGGCAGCTAGCTGCATGGGCGCCATTCTGGCCACAGGTCCGTGAAGGCAGGGGTTTGGTTTACTCTGTAAAATTCCTGACATTCACAGCCGAGACCCAGGACAGGGCCGCACCCACTCACACCGATGAGAGCCGTGGCAGGAAGGAAAGCTCCACCCATCCTCTTAGAAAAGAAAACTGTCTCCCTCTGGCAGCAGCTTTCTGTCCGTGACTTCATGCGATGTGTTCTGTTTCAGCACCAAAGGAAATACAGCAAGGATGAGTACCACCACCGGCTGCAGACCTTCCTCAGCAACAGCAGGAAGATCAAGGCCCACAATGCTCGCAACCACACATTTCAGAGTATGTGGGGGACGTGGGGGATATGGGGATGGGAGGAGGGAGCATCTCTAACATCGGGAAAGAAATTAGCTAGGGACACCGCTGATGAAAGCGCCCGCGAGGGGCTTAGGGCCCAGGGGATTCTGGCTCTGCTGTCACTCTCCATGAGATTTAAGGGATTGTACATGTAAGGCGATGCTGGCACCCTTCTGGGTGACTGTAGAGGAGCCCCCATCCCATGGCTGCCATCGGAGGGTCCAGCCCTTGCTGAGCCCTGGCAGTGCTGCGGGTGCGGGGCCTTCTCCAGGGCAGCCTCTGGGGACATCCGCCTTCCCTCCGGGGTAGCGTCCCTGGGAGCACAGGCACTCACAGCGTATGTAGCGAGGGCTCCACACAAGGGCAGTGTCAGCTCAGCTGGTGATAACGTGCAACAGGTCTGTGCTGGAAGGAAGCCCGAGTCTGAAGCTCATTTCCACCCAGGACTAGCGGTGTGACCTTGGGGGGTTAGGGTCTCTGAAATCTTACTCGACTATACAGTGGAAGTGATCACGTGCCCCTCATGGGGGAGCTAGGAAAACTGACTGCAAAGACAGGTGAGGTGGGGAGGCGGGT